CAGCTGCGCGCCCCGCCGGGAAACCAGCTCCAGCCCGGCGCGGGAGGCCTGGGTCACTCGCCCCTTACCTCTGCAGGTGTTCCGGGCTCCAATGGTCAGGGTCTGTGCAGGGTGGGGGCGCCAGGAGTGGCTCGCCGTGCCTGGGTGAGTGGATTTTCTGCAGATCTAGAGAGAGCAGCGCTTTTGGGGAGGGGACCCTGGAATGGAGTACCTCACAGGGAGGTTCCCTGGGAGGCCAGAACAGGCCTGCAGCACCTGGGGGCGCGGGGAGCAGGGCCAGGGTCAGATGGGGCAGGAAAGGTGGTTGGACCTTGGGGGCTGGAGGACCTCCTTTAGGGCTGTGGGTGATATCACAGCTCTGAGGGGCAAAGGATGGCTGAAGGGTACCGGGGGAGACCTGCCCCACTGCACCTTCCAGGTCCCTGCTGGAGCTCCTGGCCTGCACCAGCGCCTGCTTGGAGGAAGCGCGGTGGTCCCGGGGTGGGTGCCCTACCACCTGCACGAGGGAAGGCAGGCCCGGCCGGCAGCTGCTGGAGTCGGAGTCAGCGCCCCCTGAGCTGCTGGTGTTCAGACAGGGCAGGCAGCCCCACTCCACGGTCTTGTGATGCCGCTCAGAGTGCTTTCCAGAGGACTCTGAGCTCCCTGTGTCCAGCTGTGGCAAGGGCCGGGGCTGCCTGTGGACCACACTCTGCTTGATGGCCACTCCAGCTCCAGACCCCAGCCCTGCCCCCATCCAGCCCCACAAGACAGTGCAGCAGGGAGCCCCTCTTGCCTCCCAGGACCCAGGCCCAGCTCATGGCAGGACAGTGACGGTCCCTCAACCCTAACGCATCCTACAGGTCAGAGAACTGAGCACTGGAAGGTTGAAGGGACTTATCCAGGGACACTAAGGGGTCCTTTAGTGTTCTGGGTCTTCACCTGCCAAGGTGAGCCCTCCCTTCTGGCCCCTGGGGAGTCCCTGCTCTGTGCAGTTACTTTTGCTTTGAGTTGGGCTCCAGGCTGATGAAGAGGTTGGGGTACCGGTGGGCAATGCTGTTCCAGTCCACGTCCTCCAGCCGAAAGCCCTGGCCAGGAAGCAACAGGCACGTGGTCCTCCCCTCCCGCAGGGCTCCAGGTCCCAGACCACACACGTGGGAGGCCCAGCTCACCTCCCCAGTGGGGGCCTGAATGTTTTCAGAGAGGTCACTTGGGTCCATCAGAGTCTCTGCCGTCACCACCTGCAAGAGGGGACCAGAGGCCAGTGGGCAGGGGCTGGGGTGAAGGGTACCCCTTCCCTACAGCACCTCTTCTCTTTGACCTCACCTGTGCTTTGAGGCCTCCTGATTCCTCCCTGCTGGAGCCCAGAGTTCCAGAGGCAGCCTGAGCAGGGCAGGCTTCCAGGCAGGCCAGGGCACCCCAGCAGAGGCACCCGATGAGAGGGGGAGGGCTGGGGAGGGCAGCCTGGGGCAGGAGGGCTTGGGGGACGGGCTCACCTCCACACTGCCAGTCTGGGATCGTAGCATGCGGCCCACCCACGAGGAGTGGGCCAGCTGCAGGAGGCAGGACTTCTGCAAGTTCTGCAGCTCGGCCTCCACCTCTTGGAGCGTGCGGGTGGTCTGCAACAGCCGCTCCTCCAGGTGCTCCTTCTCCTGCTCCGGGAGGGCCCGTGGGTGGTGGGGGTGGGTCTTCTGCAGAAGGCCCCCAGGCCAGCCCCAGCCTGGCTCTCCAACACCAGGACCCTGCCCACTCCCTGTGCCCCTGCCTCACCCACTGGGCTCGCTCCTTCTGTTCCTTCAACTCCAGGGTCAGCTTCTGGACCTGGTTCTGCAGGAACTTCTCCTGACTGTGGGAGCTCCTGGAGGAGGGGCGACCTCAGCAGCCCTCACCCCGCTCAGGCAGGGGGTTCCTAATGTCAGGTCAGGGGCTCCACTGCCACCTCGGCCCCAAGGGCACACAGTACAGCCCCACTGGGGCCGGCCAGCCTCTGGCTGGTCTGGGCAGGGGTCTAGCACCCATCCACATGCGCAGGGTTAGGGTTGAGGCTATGGCGTGTTAACTTAGGATCAGGGTGGAGGGTCAGTGTGGGCGAGGATGAGGGTAAGGATCTGACTCAGCGGTTGGGATTGGGGTCAGACAGAAACCAGGAGTCTGGGTGAGGACAGGGCAGGGTTGGGTTGGTTGGGGACTGTGCTGCAGACCTCTTGGGTGGAATCCCCGCCACTTCCTCCAGGATGTGGCAGAGCCGGGTGTCCTTGCCATTCTGGATGGCCCACCGCAAGGCCTGGATCTCCAGTTCTCGCTGCTTCCACAGCAGCCGCAGTGTGCGAGGGTCCAGGGACTCAAGAGCCAACCTGCGGCAGCAGCAACAGCAGCCCCTGCTGCTTACTCAGGCTGGGCCCCTGGCCACCTGGCCCAGGAGGCTCACCACTCCTCCCTCCCCTCCTTACTGCAGGTCAGCAGAGCAGGCCGCCCGTGTGGGGTGGGGCGTGGTGTCTGGCAGGCATGTGGGGGTCTCGGGGGCTGCAGGTGCGCCTGCTGGAGGTCCCAGGTGACCACTGACAGACTCTCGCTCTGTGGGAGACGGGAGAGCCTCTTCCTCGGCTTCTTCAACCCCCTGGCCAGACTTGGGGGCCATTCTCAATGTTCTTCAGGAGCGGAGGGGTGGGGGTCCCAAGCTGGCTATGTGTGCCTCGTGTGGCCACACAGGTTGGAGCAGCCCAGGCGGCACCACTGCTCACAGAGCGTCGCTCTCTGAAGAGACTCACATGTGGATGTCCACACCCGTGTGTTTCTGACCAGGATGGGGCAGCAGGTCACCACCTGACATGTCCCTGGTATGTCCCCCTGCCACCCAGGTGTTGGCCCTTTGCCTGTGATGTGGTGTCCCTCTTTCTCTCTCTTGTACCCCCAGTTCAGGGCTCTACCCCCAGCACTCAGCTGAGGCCAGACCTCCAAGCAGGCCTGGAAGGGAAGGGTTCTATACCGTTGCCATGGATACCAGCACCCAGAAAGGGAGGGGCTGTTTGTTACCAGGAGCCTCCAGGGAGACCCCAGACCAGGCCCCTGGGTGAGTTCTGGGCTGGGCCAGCCCAGCTTGGAGGTGTGAGAGGCTGAGCCACTGCTCAGCTTAGCGGGGGGACCACTTAGTGGCCAGCACCCTGAGGGAGGCCCCAGCATCCCCTACCTAGCCTGGCAGCACGTGCGGGATAAATATGGGGGCACTGCTGCCTGTGGGCCAGCCCAGCATAGCCATGAGTGTGTGGGGAAAGCAGACAGGTAACAGTGACAAGCTGGGGACTGTGCTGAACGCTAACTGGGAATAGTATGCCCCTGCCCACAGCCTCTTTTTAAATTAATAATTAATTTTTTAGAGACAGGGTCTTGCTCTGGTGCCCAGGCTGAGGTGCCTTGGTGTGATCACAGCTCACGGTAACCTCGAATTCCTGGGCTTAAGTGATCTTCCCACTTCCATCTCTTGAATTGCTGACACTACAGGCACCTGCCTCCACCACCAGGCCCAGCCCACAGGTCCTTTGACCTCAGTGACAGGCCCTCACCTACCTGAACCCCCAAACTGAAGCCTCACCTTTCCCAGCCATCTCCACACACTCTGGGCTACCCTCAGGGGGCCCTGTGGGCATTCTCATTACCATGGCACGTATTCCCTCTGCTCCAGGACAAAAACAAACGAGGTCCCAGACCTGACCCACAAGACCCAAGCATTCCAGCCTTCACCCTCCACCTCGCCCTCACTCATTCACTCTTCACCTCTGCAACTTTCGACTATGTAAGGGCTCCCTAGCGGAGCACAGGAGACAGCCGGGCAGGAGACCCCTCCACGCCCATAACTCGTTCTGAGCTGGGCGGAACTGGCAATCAATGCTCCACAATGGCAATCAATGACCGCGAGGCTGCGGGGCCCTGGGCGGGACAGTAGGGTAGGGGGTGGAGGAGCGGCTTCCAGCCAGCTTCACTGTGCGTAAGGCCTGGCACTGGGTCCAAAAGCGGCAGGAAGGTGTAGGAGAAGAGCCTCAGCCAGAGTCCGGGCCTTCCCCTGAGCGGGCACCTCCCGCACCAGGGCTCGGCGCCCGCCAGCTCCGCAGACTTCTACCTCCCTTGCCGCGACTGGTGATCCTGCGACCCCGCGACCCCCGTGCGTCCAGGCTACTGCCGCTGCGGTAGGCTCCAAAGGCTGGCCCGGGAAGCGAGGGGAGGGGCTGGCCCCTCTGCCCCTCAACGCAGGCGGGGGTTGCGGGATCCCAGGCCAGAGACCCTCCCTGGGCGGGAACCCGCCACACACTAGAAGGCTGCTGACGAAGTCGGCCCAGGAGCAGGGTCGGACACCTGCCTCGACGCGCCGCCCGCGGGTCGCAGCCGCCGCGTTTCCGCGTTGTTAGC